TAGTGTTGATCTACCCCCAAATGATACCCGAAATAATGCGACCCTTATCGACTATATTGATGCAGGTTACTTATCAGACTCACATAAGGGACGTTCCTAATTAGGTTTTGTCTTTACTACCGGGAACACGAAGATATCCTGGGGTTCTTGTAAATAGACTCTAGTTGCTACTTCGACAAAACACTCTGAACTACTCACACTCTATGAGGCAAATAAAGAATGTGTATGGCTTCAAGATGTAATCGGCCATATTCGATGTACATGTGGTTTAGTTTATGATCCTATGAACCAGTTGTCATATATGAAGATAACATTGATGTTATATATAAAGTGAATGATGGTTACACCAAATGGGATAACACTAAGCACATCTCACCAAAATTGTTCTTTACACATGAACAATAAGCAATTCAAAAGATTGAAGTGTAACATATTGGATCAGAAAAGAATCATGAAAACTTGCTTACTAAGTCAATGCCAAATTATTCATTCCAAAAACATATCAAAGCCATTGAACTTATGAAACTCTACAAACTACCTAAATGACATGTATCATGCATCCAGTTGTATGGAACTGAAGATTGCATTCTGATGTATGTTTAACACCCCGATGAGTACATGTAAGGGGAAGCACCCCAATGAATGCTTGTGTACTCTTTTTATCTTTAGTTCAAGGGTTTTGTCCCATTGGGTTTACCTTGACAAAGTTAAGTTTAACAAGACACAAATTATAACCCATTCCCACTAAGAATTGATGAAATTAAGGGGAATATCCAACTGAATACTTCTTTAACCATTATGTACTCTTTTGTCTTTTGCTTATAGTTTTTCTTGCACTTAGTTTTCTTTTAACAAGGTTTTAATTAGGCACTTCATGTATGGTTATTTCCTTTACTTAAGACATCTAGACCGTACTTTTTATCCTCCGACCAAGTTTTTGTCCCAAAAGGTTTCCGTCGACAAGGTTTTTAACAAGGCAAATATTTGATGTATTATCTGAAGATACGAGATGAAGAAGTACAAGTATAATTTAGTGTATATCTAATCACCCAAAGGGGGATGTTGTAACTCATAGAATAATTATAGGTTTCTTACATTTAACTCTATCATAAGTAGAAGTTATGTACATAGCTCTTACAAGTTACAACATGTGGCTTATACAACCTTTCCCCTATATAAAGTGAGTTTTTGTGTACTTGTAAATATACTTGAAACACTAGAAAGAAAACATATGTAAACACATATTTAATCAATGAGAATGTTGCTATGAATCATTGAGTTGAGCTAATTCGTCAAACAACAAGAGAGATTTTAAAAAATAAGCAAAAAAGATTTGAACAAAACCCTTTAATTGAGAGTAAACTCTTTTGATAACTCAACAACTATTTTTTTTCATTGTTTCAAATAAAATTTTTATATATGATATATTACAAAGTTGGGATATGAAGCCATTACGAGGTTAGAGACGATCACTTAATATTAAGAATTGACAATCATTTGATTCGGCCTTACTCTCAATTCGATATGGTCTAAGCGGGCCAATTGCTCATGCTCGATAGAAGCAATTACTAATCTAGCTAAATTCCGTAATGACATTTCTATTTTTAGCCAACACCGAAGACTAATGCACATTTTGTGCATTGAACGCTTGTATGATTTTATTTTATTTAATTTTTTTGGTTTTTTTTCCCAAATAAACATATCTACTAATTCTCATCGTAAACAAGAAAAAATAAAAATAAATTCAAGATTCAAAAGACACATTGTTATTCTTTGAATGCTCAATTGATAGAATAATTTCAAACTTCAAAACCATACAAAATGAGCAAAACTGAAAATTACAACTTTATATATTCTAGACCGACACACCCTGAAAAAATACATAGTCCACCAAACAATATCCCAATACCCCCCATAGAGTAGTCAACCAATCACTGATCGTAGTCAACATGACGTTGACCGTAGCCCACTTAATTATTTACGTTTTAAATGTCAGTTTGGGATAAATACTAAATTTTAGCTAAAAACTAATAAATAATTAAAATTTTTGGTTATAGTTTTGTAATTACATTCGCCTAAAATACTAAATTTTAGCTGAAAACTGATAAATAATTAAAATTTTGGGAATATGACTTATCAAGGTAATTAACTTTTCGGTATGTTCACATCTGGGTAACTATCTTTTTTTTGTGCATATGTAGGTAACAAACTTTTTGGAAGTGTTCACATATGACCATTATGACCTGCTATAGCAGGTTAAATCCTAGATGTAAACTCTTTCAACAAGTTTGTTACCTAGATGTGTACAAAAAAAATAGTTACCCAAATATGAACAAAATGAAAATTAAAAATTAAATTACATGAATGGTCCTTATGGTTTGGGGGAATTTGTGGTTTTGGTCCCTAATTTATTTTTTTAACTTAAATGGTCCCTACTATTTGTTTTTGTTGCGCGTTTGGTCCCCGTCTTACCTAAAAATACTATTGTGCCCTTATTATTTTTTTTTTAATTAATTTTCTTATCTATGTATTTATTTTATACATATTTAAAAAAATTAATAAACCACACATATTTGTATCTTCTCGGATGATCTCTACTGTTTATTTTTAATTAATTTTTTTTTTAAACTTGGATGATCCTTACTGTTTATTTTTGTTACGCGTTTGGTCTCTGTCTTATCTAAAAATACTATTTTTCCCTTATTAATTTTTTAAATTAATTTTCTTATTTATGTATTTATTTTTTATAAAAAAATTAATATACCCCACATATATGTATCTTATCACCGTAAACCTGAAACCACATTTGAGAAATTTAATTTGAGTCTTACCATTCACCATCTCATCTCTGATCCTCCCCATCTTCTATTTCTTTTCCATCTTTAGTAACATCAACGTCTTCACCGTCCTTTTTTTTTGGTACTTCAACTCTGGAGAACCAACACCATAACCTACTGTCTCTTCATATTTAGTGGGTTGTGGTGTTGTTTGACGGAGTTGAAGGACCAAAAAAAGAAGTGATGATGAAGACGTCGATATCACTAAAGATGAAAAATAAATAGAAGTTGAGAATGATGAAAGATGGGATGGTGAGGAGATACAGATATGTGAGGTCTACTAATTTTTCTTAAACATATAAAGCATAAGTACATAAACAAGAAAATTAATTAAAAAAATTAATAAGGGCACAATAGTCTTTTTAGGTAAGACAGAGACCAAGTTCGTAACAAAATTAAATAGTAGGGACCATCCGAGTTAAAAAATTAAATTAATTAAAAAATAAATAGTAGGGATCATCCGAGGAGATTCAAATATATGTGGTATATTAATTTTTATAAATATGTAAAAAAATAAAAATAGATAAGAAAATTAATTAAAAAAAATAAATTAATAAGGGCACAATAGTATTTTTAGGTAAGATGGGGACCAAATGTGCAATAAAAATAAACAATAGGAACCATTTAAGTTTAAAAAATAACTTAGAGATCAAAACCACAAATTCC